TTGCCTCAAATTTTATGAGTTTTAATCAAATTTAGATGTAGGAAAGATATGAAAAATCAAAATGAAAGTTAAATAACATTTTTCAAACGTTAACGATTGCATTTTAGCGGGTTTATTAAAATTTGTTCTGATTTTTATTATTATTATTAGACTAAAAAGCAGAAATATTTGTCTCATATTCCATAAGTTTCTTTCCGATTTGAATGACTGAAACCGCTAAAAAATCATAATGATGTTGATTTTACAAGTATCTACTGTAGGAAATGCGCGAAAATGCAATCGTAAACGTTTGAAAAAGGTTAATTAAATTTTCATTTTTCAGCGCTTTCCGACATCTAAATTATTGGAATAAAACTCATGGATTTTAAAGCAATTTTTTATGCTTTTTCGATTGGTAATGAATAAAATTTGAACTAACATTAATAACCACGCGATAACGCGATCGTTAACGTTTGATAAAGGTTAAATTAACTTTGATTTTTTATATCTTTCTGACATCTAAATTGCAATATAACTCATGAATTCTGCGACAATTTTTTCTGCTCTTTCGATTGGTAATGATTAAAATTTGAACAAATTTAATAAACGCGCGATAATGCCATCGTTAACATTTTGAAAATGTTAAATTAATTTTGATATTTCATATATTTCCGACATCTAAATTGGAATAAAGCTCATAGATTCTGAGACATTTTTTTATGCTCTTTCGATTGGTAATGATTAAAATTTGAACAAACTTTAATAAACACGCGATAACGCGATCGTTAACGTTTGGTAAAGGTTAAGTTGACTTTGATTTTTTCAGGGAGTAGTATAAGGAGACCGAACGCCATGCGCGGAAAGTGGCCGCACTTTTGGTGATCGTAATTCTCATGGGCACACTTCTGTCGATATCAGCGCTCTTAGTGTAGAAAAGTGGCACTATTTGTCGTCTGCTACTGTGATTATTCAGTGCACATGTTGTTTTTATTAGACATTACACTTCACAAAATATTTTATTTTAAGCGTGTTAAAATTTTATCACAATTCAGTCGTAATTTATTTACTAAACGATAAACCGCACACGATAAACAAACTAAAAAAGCAGAGGTTATATCATGCTTTCTTGTTTACAACGATAGTGTCAGCCTCTCCGAGTGAGGCGCTGCTATCGACAGAAGTGTGCCCATGGGAATTACGATCACCAAAAGTGCGGCCACTTTTGACGCGGATTCATAATGGCCGTTCGGTCTCCTTATACTACTCCCTGGATTTTTTATATCTTTCCGACATCTAAATTGCAATATAACTCATAGATTCTGAGTGGTGCCGTAATTTTCCCCAAATCTCAAATGTCATAATATTCATTTGACATAAAGACAGTTGACATAACCAATATTTGTCATAATTTTTTTAGTCATAATTTTACTTTAGCATAAATTTTAATTGACATACTAATTATTCAGCATAATTCGCATTTGACAGAATGTTTATTTAGTATAAGTTATATTCGGTATAACTTTCAATTGTCATAATTTTTATTTGGCATAATATATATTTGTCATAATCTTTATTTGACATAATTTTCATTGATCATAATTTTCATTTGTCATAATTCTTATTAGTCATAACTTTTATTTGTCATAATTACTGATTGACATAATGTTAACTTTTTATAATAAGCACTTGACATAATGTTTATTTCACATAATTTAAGTTTGACATAATGTTCATTAGACATAATTTTAATTTGACATAATGTTCATTATTCATAATTTTTATTTGTCATAATTATCATGCAGTATAAAATGTACTTGATATAATGTTCATTTGTCATAACTATTTTATGACATAATGTTTATTTGTAATAATTTTTAATTGGTATAACGCTAAATTAGTATAATGTGTATTTGCCATAATGTTCATTTGTCATAATTTTCATTTGTCATAATTCCCATTTGTCATAACTTTATGTGTCAACGATTTTTTGCTGTATCTTCCCATCCTTGGTTTTTTAATTAGTAGTTTGTATATGTTGGTAAAGTAGATCAGGTGGCGCTGTCTAATATTTCTGAAATTAATTCTAATTATTTTTTATTTTATATTTATATATTTTTAAGGATAAGTTTTTTGAAAAGAAAATAATTAAAATTAGTTACTAGTAAGAATTTTAATTTCAAATAATATGATTATATTTTTTAATTATAATCATAGGTGTCTCTAGTATTAAAATATATATTGTAATTTTTAAGAAATGCAAGAATTTGCGTTGTTAAACGGAAAGTTTTAGCAAAAATAATATATATTATTAATTATTAATTCTGTTAAATATTTACTAGCAAGTTGATTGAACAATATAAAAATCTGATAATGTTAATTATTACAGAATTATTAAAAAAAATTTATTAAATTAAAATAAAAAATAATTAGAATTAATTTCAGAAATATTAGACAGCGCCACCTGATCTACTTTACCAACATATACAAACTACTAATTAAAAAACCAAGGATGGGAAGATACAGCAAAAAATCGTTGACACATAAAGTTATGACAAATGGGAATTATGACAAATGAAAATTATGACAAACGAACATTATGGCAAATACACATTATACTAATTTAGCGTTATACCAATTAAAAATTATTACAAATAAACATTATGTCATAAAATAGTTATGACAAATGAACATTATATCAAGTACATTTTATACTGCATGATAATTATGACAAATAAAAATTATGAACAATGAACATTATGTCAAATTAAAATTATGTCTAATGAACATTATGTCAAACATAAATTATGTGAAATAAACATTATGTCAAGTGCTTATTATAAAAAGTTAACATTATGTCAATCAGTAATTATGACAAATAAAAGTTATGACTAATAAGAATTATGACAAATGAAAATTATGACTAATAAGAATTATGACAAATGAGCATTATGTGAAATGCAAATTATGACAAATGAACATTCTGTCAAATACACATTATACTAAATAAGCGTTATGTCAAGTGCTGATTATTAATAATAAACATTATATAAAAAAGTGATTATTACAAATGACAGTTATGATTATTAAGAATTATGAAAAATGAGCATTATGTCCAATAGTCATTATGTTAAATTAGCGTTATACCAGTTAAGAATTATTACCAATAAATATTATGTCAAAAAGTAGTTATGACGAATGAACATTATATCAAATACATTTTATGATAAATGATAATTATGCCAAAGTAAAATTATGATCAATGAAAATTATGTCAAATAAAGATTATGACAAATGTATATTATGCCAAATAAAAATTATGACAATTGAAAGTTATACCGAATATAACTTATACTAAATAAACATTCTGTCAAATGCGAATTATGCTGAATAATTAGTATGTCAATTAAAATTTATGCTAAAGTAAAATTATGACCAAAAAAATTATGACAAATATTGGTTATGTCAACTGTCTTTATGTCAAATGAATATTATGACATTTGAGATTTGGGGAAAATTACGGCACCACGATTCTGAGACATTTCCTATGCTCTTTCGATTAGTTATGATTAAAATTTAAACAAATTTAATAAAAGCGCGATAATGTCATCGTTAACATTTAGAAAATGTTAAATCAATTTTGATATTTCATATATTTCCGACATCTAAATTGGAATAAAGCTCATAGATTCTGAGACATTTTTTTATGCTCTTTCGATTGGTAATGATTAAAATTTGAACAAACTTTAAAAAACGCGCGATAACGCGATCGTTAACGTTTGAAAAAGATTAAATTAATTTGATTTTTCATATCTTTTAGACATCTAAATTGGAATAAAATTCATGGATACTGAGACATTTTTATGCTCTTTCGATTGGTTATGATTAAAATTTGAACAAATTTAATAAACGCGCGATAATGCCATCGTTAACATTTTGAAAATGTTAAATTAATTTTTATATTTCATATATTTCCGACATCTAAATTGGAATAAAGCTCATAGATTCTGAGACATTTCCTATATGCTCTTTCGATTGGTTATGATTAAAATTTAAACAAATTTAATAAAAGCGCGATAATGTCATCGTTAACATTTAGAAAATGTTAAATCAATTTTGATATTTCATATATTTCCGACATCTAAATTGGAATAAAGCTCATAGATTCTGAGACATTTTTTTATGCTCTTTCGATTGGTAATGATTAAAATTTGAACAAACTTTAAAAAACGCGCGATAACGCGATCGTTAACGTTTGAAAAAGATTAAATTAATTTGATTTTTCATATCTTTTAGACATCTAAATTGGAATAAAATTCATGGATACTGAGACATTTTTATGCTCTTTCGATTGGTTATGATTAAAATTTGAACAAATTTAATAAACGCGCGATAATGCCATCGTTAACATTTTGAAAATGTTAAATTAATTTTTATATTTCATATATTTCCGACATCTAAATTGGAATAAAGCTCATAGATTCTGAGACATTTTTTTATGCTCTTTCGATTGGCAATGATTAAAATTTGAACAAACTTTAAAAAACGCGCGATAACGCGATCGTTAACGTTTGAAAAAGATTAAATTAATTTGATTTTTCATATCTTTTAGACATCTAAATTGGAATAAAATTCATGGATACTGAGACATTTTTTATGCTTTTTCGATTGGTTATGATTAAAATTTGAACAAATTTAATAAACGCGGGAAAATGCGATCATTATTACTTGAAAAAGGTGAAATTAATTTTGATTTTTCCTATCTTTCAGACATCTAAATTGCAATATAACTCATAGAATCTGAGACATTTTTTATGCTCTTTCGATTGGTAATGATTAAAATTTGAACAAACTTTAATAAACTGGTTTTTGTATTCGTTAAACAATTAACGGTACGTTCTTCAGCTCAATGAAAGTGACATTAGTAAGTCAGCGATAAAAATTATTCTCGGACAGTGTTATAATAATAATTATTATTAATATTAAGACACTATATTTGTTAATGTTATTTTTTATAATTACAGTTACTTTCAAGACGGGCTTAAAACTATAGAGCATTTTGGTTCTTATATCACCGATCTTAGTTCAAAATTACAGAAAATTAGGCAAACTCAAGATGAAGAAAGGAAAAAGCTTATAGAGTTAAAAAATTTACTGAAGAGTTCAGGATGCGATAAAGAGGTATATGTTTCTATTTTTTTCTGATAGGATTATTAAGTTGAAAAAGTCACAACCCAATCAGCACGAAACCTTGCAGCAATCTTGCGAGAAGCTTTCCGTGTAAGATTGCAGTTCAAAAATGTAGCAAGTTTGGTACAAGCAACAAAATGTCCTCTTACGGCAAGCTATCAGGGCAACGTTGGTGCAAGCTTGCTGAAAGTTTGCAAAACTTAACACGACGCGCAGTTGTAAACGGAAGCTCCTACGGGTACGCAATAAATTTTTTAAGGGGGAGTGATACCTTTGATCCATAAAAAATCGATTTTTTTTATTATCTTAAACGCTACTTTATGATGTGTAGAATAGAAACTATATCAGCAAAAGCGATTTCGAAGTTATTTTATTTAAAAAAAATCGAAATCTGCAGAAGGAGTCCAAGAGCGCTTTGAGTGCTGGATAGCGCAATCGGCTATTCTGTCTTTTACCGTGGTAACAATTGCGTACTTTTACGCTCACAGCCGGTCGAAAGGCTGAAATGAAGCCAATATACTCGGTTCGGAACCCTATTAATATCGGTTTTTTTGAAATCGTGTACCCCCCCCCCCCTAGCGGCCACACGAATTTATCTGGAGGGCTGAAATTTGGTACACATATGTATTTTCACGTGTAGATTACAGGAAAAATATAGCGAGCATGATTGGAGTTGATTATCATAGCGTTGTCAAGGAAAAACCATGAATTTTTACGAAAAATACCTAAAAATAACTATGTACCCCCCCCTTGCAGCCACATCTTTTGACATAAAGAGCTCAAATTTGGTACACTTACGTATTTTTACGAAAAAATTACAGGAAAAAAATAGCGAACTTGATTCGGATTAATTTACATAGCATTGTAAGGGAAAAATAAAAAAATTTCGAAAAAAATGGTTTAATCTCCCTAGCGCACACAATATTCAACCCAGACTGTTCATATTTGCTGTATAAATGTATTTTTGCGTGAAAATTATGGTGAAAAAATGTAAGCACGATTGGAGTTGATGATCAATTTTTATCAAATTTTTAAAGAAAAATGATAATTTTAAGGAAAAAATGTATTTTTCCGCAAAAAACGAAAAAATTTATATCAAGTGATTCAAATTTATACACAAAAAATATGAAACTTTTCCAGATGCCGTTTGAGGCCTGTCGTATTATTTCCAGTCATTTTAATCGTTTTAATGTTTTCAGAATTTGTCAAGGAAGTAATCAAAAGAAACATCAAGAGATTTTCCGTTAAATTTTCACCGCTTTGAATGAAAAATAACAGTACTTTTGATTGGCTTTTGAGAATTGCCACTAGATATGTGAAAAAAATTGTTTTAATAATCTTTTAAATATGGTCATTTGGGGAAAATGTAAACAAGGGGTAAATGTAAACAGCAGATATTGCAGCTTAATTTACAGATTTAAAATTAAGTTCGACCCCAATATTTTAACCTCAGCTCACCTGCAACAGGTTCTGAGTATTGCCAATTTTTTTTTTCGACAATTGTCAAAGCCATACTCCAATTTGTCGCTTAATGCATGAAAGATTGAAAATCAAAGTTTTACTGTTTCAGTATTTTGTCTCGCATTTGAATAAAAATGAACTAAAAATTCAAACTAAAATTTCTAATTATTCCTTATGAATCCCTTAACAAAAGCTGACTTTGATTTTTTAATTTCGTCAATTCAGTTAATAGATAATTAAGTGTTTACATTTACCCCGAAAATTCGAAAACTCGGGGTAAATGTAAACAGAATTTCTGCTGCATTTTAAAAGAAAATAATTGAATAAATTTGCTTCTATTTCACAATTACATTATTTTGGCCCTGTAAAATTACATAAAAAACGAAATTGGATCTTCTTTTATATCTCCTTCGTGTTAGTCAGTTGCAGGTATAGACCTGCATAGTATTGCATAGTGCATTTACGTGTTTAAAATATAGGAAAGCGATTCTTCACAATTGGTGAATAAAACTCAGGTACGTAGGAATCCTAAAATAAGAGTGAGTGATTGATTGGTTGATTGATTGATAGATTGATTGATGGATTGATTGATGGATTGATTGGTTGATTGATTGCACGATTGATTTATGGATTGGTTGATTGAGTAATTGGTGGATTGATTGGTTGATTGGATAATTGATTTATAGATTGGTTGATTGAGTGGTTGATTGGTGGATTGCTTGATTGATTGACTGATTGATTGATTGGTGGATTGATTGGATGATTGGTTGATTGATTGATTGATTGATTGGTTGATTGATTGATTGATTGGTGGATTGATTGGATGATTGGTTGAATCCGCTATTTTGAAAATTTTAAATCTGACTTCAGATTCGTATTCAGCGACCTCGAAAACCTCCGAGTAGCGAAATTTAAGCAAATTTGATCAATTTTTAAAAATATTTTTAGGTTCATCTGCCATATTGGATCCGCCATTTTGAAAATTTTAAATTTGTCTTCAAATTCGTATTCTGTGACCTGAAAAACCCACGAGTAGCGAGATTCAAGCAAATTTGATCAATTTTTAACAATATCTTTATGTTTGTCCGCCATTTTGAAATTTAAAAATTCGATTTTAGAATCTTATTCAGCAACCTTAAAAACTTATTTTCACCAAGTTGAATGAAAATCTATTAAAATTTATTGAATTTATTCAAGTTTTTACATTACTAGTTTTGTTATGGTAATGATTGCTTATTTTATATGTTGCATATCAATCAATTGGTTCAATTATTTTACATCTACCAAGAATTTTTTTTCAGTTTTTACATCCCTTTACACAGTAATATACTTAGGATAACTTTTTTCTTAAACCTCTTTAAACTACAGGGGTGTTTACATTTACCCCGAATTTTGGGAAAATTTCAAAATCTCGGGGTAAATGTAAACAGTCAGTTTTAAGCGATTCAAGTTAATCAATATTTTTTTGTACCTCATAAAATGTTTCTAGGGAAGTGGAGTAACAAGTTCATGGAGTAGAAAACCGGAAGTATTGCTTTTTAAAATAAAAAACTTACGTTATTTTCGAAACTAAGCAAATCCGTTTACATTTACCCCAAATGACCCTAATTCAATTCATTTTCTTAAAATTAAATTCGGAATATTCAGTATACTTAGTATTCTTATTAATAATGTTCTGTCCTTCTTCCAAAGGTCTTTTCTTTGAATTTTCCATTCCAGGTTAAAAATTAATTCGATAAATTTGACAGAACAATAGCATTGAAAAACATTTTATAACGAGAAGATTATCGCTATTTTGCAGCACGAAAAATACAGAAAACAAAAGAATTCGCAAAAATCTCGTATTGTTAACTTCTCGCAATTATGAACAAAATCTTATAAAACATACGATCATCTCGTATCATTATACACCACTATACTCATGCGTAAATCGCAACACATTTCTTTCCGCGTACAATTTAAAGATTTTTTGGTGGTAGAATCCATATCCTAATGTAAATATAACTTTTCTTTTGCTATCCAAAGAGGAATAGTTCGATATTACATAAAAATTTTATTTTTTAAAAGTGGAAATTTGTAGTACTACCTATAAAAAATGTTAGATTAGCTAAAAGCGTTGGTAACAATGACAGTTCCAATTTTATAACGGGGATTGGTTACTGTGTCAGTTGGACTATCAGACTAAATTGTTTGTTGACGTGAATGACGTTTTGTACATATGTCGGTTATTCACATACAAATGACAAAATGATACATTTTTGTCTGATAGTCCAACTGATACGGTAACCAACCCCCGTTATAAATTTGAAATTGTCATTGTTACCAACGCTTTTAGCTAATCTAATTTTCGGTAGATAGAGCTACAAATTTCCACTTATCCAATAAAATTTTGATGTATTATCAAACTATTCTTCTCTGGACAGCAAGAAAAAAGTTATATTTACATTAGGAAAAGGGAGGACATATCGCTATTTGCCACAAATTTGCAGCAATTTTGCAGTGCAATTTTGCAAACTTGGCATTGCAAACTTGCTGCAAAATTGCTGTAAATAGTTGTGCTATTTGGGTAGTGTGTCGCTTTTCCTATATTCTTATGGTGTTTATGGGCGGAAAATCATTGATGGCGTGTTAAGTTGCGAGGCAGAGAGTCCAAGGGTTTAGTTTCGTGATATCCTTTGCAATTCCGGTGGAAAGAAGGCCGATATTTAAAGGTTTGCTGCACAAATTGATAGCAACCTGATTGAAAGGACGAAAAGCCGACATAACTCAATTGCTGCTGGTAATTTTCTCAATGTTTTAATTGTTATCAGATCGCTTCCTTAAATTATATTTATATTTTACTTTGTATGTGAATGGGTGTGAATTTTGATGTGGGAGAAGCTCTGATTATTAATTATAGGCTCGAGTCATTTTGAATTGAATTAAATTATTGTATAAAATTCTTATTATTTTGAATATATTTAATTTATGGAGAAATCTTTTCTTATTTCTATTTTTATGAACTTGAAATTTGTTTCAGTCGTTTTTTTCAAAAAGCTCTCGATGAAATATTTTGGTTTAGTGATTTTTTTAATTTACGAACATAACACTTTCAAAATTCAAAAGAAAATTTGAAGTGTTCTGACTTTTGGGTTAAATTTTCTCAGGCGCACCGTGCGGAATGAACTTATTAAAAACTAGCTGTCGACCCCGCGTTGGGTAGGTCTCGACATCTAGTTGCGCGTGACCGATAGCATTTTCATACAAAAAATATTAGTATTTACTTAGTATTTGCATCAAGATCGTCTGTAAATTGCTCAGAATTCATTTACATTGCTTAAAAATTATATAAATATTTGATTGTTACACTAGTTTACAGAGATTTTGATCCACTACATTTAACAATCATTTCTCATGTAAAATGACCAGCTGAATCCGAAAATGAAGTCCAAAATTAAGAAAGTAGAACGGGTTTTAAGATATTGTTGACTTTACACATTCTTCAGTATGGAAAAAATCGTTTTACTTAAATGTAAATATCATCGTTTCAG